CAAACCCCTATGAGTAAGAGTCAGTGGAAACGAAAAACATCTTCAGTCACTTAACAATTGTCAGGTACATAACATAGAATAGCTGGGTATAAAAATGCATAAAGATATAAAGGACTCCACTTTTGTATGTTGTAGTAAGAAATTTGAACCAGCCCTTTTACTGAGGTCAACAAAGAAGAACAAAATGTTCAACATAGTATCTGCTCTGATTCCTTTGTCTGAATAATTCCATCTCTTGGCTGATAAATTTGAAACGTTTTTTAGAACTACATTTTTTGACAGAAGGGTGAGAAGAGAGGATGAGAACTATGATCTTTTTATTGGTTGAGATTTGTTTTTAAATACAATTCCCAATTTGATTTTTTCTATTTTAATTTTTATAGTAATTATCAATAGATATGCAGAATTCCCTGTGACAATTTTGATAATATCATATTCACATTCTAAGTATCAGAAGGTATTTGAACTAGAAGTAAAAATATTTCTTTAATCATGTGGTGATTACAGTGATATAGAAGAATCATTTTTATACCCATACAATGTATAATTGTAGCATATAATTCTCTGGATACATTACAAGACATAAATCATTCATATTTCATATTTTAAATGGTATACAATATATTTTTAAAAATCAATGTTTCATATATATATATATATTAACAGAGTCTTGCTCTGTTGCCCGGGCAGAGTGCAATGGCACACTCTTGGCTCACCACAACCTTTGCTTCCTGGGTTCAAGCAATTCTCCTGCCTCAGCCTCCCAAGTAGCTGGGATTACAGGTGCACGGCACCATACCCAGCTAATTTTTGTATTTTCAGTAGAAATGGGGTTTCACCATGTTGGTCAGGCTTTTCTCAAACTCCTAACCTGATCTGCCTGCCTCAGCCTCCGAAAGTGCTGGGATTACAGACGTGAGCCACTGCGTCCAGCCTGTTTATATATTTTAAAAGAGCCTAGTTAATTGTGTAAGAAGAAAATCTGACGCGTACTTTTAAGGCAAATGATCTATGGAAGTTTTTTTTTTTGTAATTATTTGACCAAAAAGAGAGAGGTAAACAATAAAAATAAAAAAACTTCAGGGTCAACAAAGAAAATTAGATCTGGCCTATAAACCTAAGATTAAGTGCAGTTTGGCATGACAAGTAATTTAACAAGGACTGGAGGTTCATGGTTATGTTCTGCAGGAGAACACACACACAAATGCACACACACATGCGCGCGCGCACACACACACACACACACACACACCCCTGGCAGAAGCAAAAAGCAAAAAAAATAAGCTTAAGAATTGCTGTTCCTCCAGCCTGGCTCGTATGGTGAAACCCCGTCTCTACCAAAAATACAAAAATTAGCCATGCAGTAGTGGTGTGCACCTGTAATCCCAGCTACTCAGGAAACTGAGACAGGAGAATCGCTTGAGCTTAGGAGGCAGAGGTTGCAGTGAGCTGAGATCATGCCACTACACTCCAGTCTGGGCAACAGAGTGAGACTATATCTCAAAAAAGCAAACAAAAAAGCATTATTGTTCTTATTTATAATTAAGAGGCCATCAGAACCAAAATAGCAAAAACTGATATTGCAGTCACCAAGCCCCTTGGCCAATTTGCCATTCTTGAGCTTTCCATGCTCCCATGCATGCTGTAGGGGCCATAGAACATTAAGCATGAAGCATGGAATGGAACTCATACGTATGTGTTAATCTGTACTCCACCAGTACTATCTGTGTGACTTTAACATGTATTTGAAGCTCTACCTGTCTTTTTTTCATCTATAGAATGGAAAGTAATAACACCAGCCTCATGAGTTTACTGGAGCATTAAATGAGAAGCTATATGTAAAAACATTAGTATATAGGAAGCACTCAAAGACAGTATTTTTCTTTGTTGTACATCACTACTTGACTAAACTTCTTGGAAGTACTATTGTCACAAACATCTCACCTCTAACTCTTAAGAACATTCTCTCACATTAATTTCGAACACCTTTGCTTCTATTTCCAGGACCTCCATCCCTAACTGCCATCCACAGTTCCCACTTGCCCTCAGGGTATATTTTGTTTTCAGTCCAACTTCTCTAAGAACCCTGAAAATATTCTCATTCTCACTTTTGTTCTGAGCTTTCCAAGCTTAGCTGAAAATCATCTTTCTTTTTAATTTATTTATTTGTTTATTTATTTATTGAGACAGGGTCTCACTTGTTGCCCAGGCTGGAGTGCAGTGGTGCAATCTCGGCTCACTGCAACTTCTGCCTCCTGGACTCAAAGGATCCTCCCACCTCAGCCTCCTGAGTAGTTGGGACTACAGGAATGCACCACCATTCCCAGCTAATTTTTTCTAGAGACAAGGTTTTGTCATGTTGCCCAGGCTGGTCTCGAAGTGATCCTCCCACCTCAGCCTCTCAAGTGCATGAGCCACTGTACCTGGCCCAGCCTCCTTTAAAGCTTTATAGACTAACCTCCTCAGAGAATGTATTATCTATTGCAATGATATCTCACCAGTATTATTTCATCACTTTTTGTACTTTGTTTAACTGGTTTGCTACTATTTACAAGTTGCTTGAGAGCAGGAGCTCTTCCAGCCTTATTTCCAACAATTTGATCTACTTCTGTTGCTAGGAGAATTTATAGCTTTCCAAACAGGCAGTGAATGGTCTTTCACCCATTTGTCTTCTGGCATACACACACACACACACAAAATTCCCTAGGCCTTCTTTCCTCTTCTCCAAGCAACTTCAAGGTTTTGCGTAGGGAGAAGGTTGAAAATTCAGTTCAAATACCACCTGTCTAATGTCTTCTGTAATTGTTCCCTAGGAGGGATAAGGCAACTAACACATCGCTCTCACAACGTACTATTGGGAAGGCGCTTTTTCAACTTAATCTTCACAAAGGCAGGTCTTTTATTGATTTTAACAGATGAAGAATTTGAGGCTTGAGGAGGTCTGATGGTTGCTCAAAGACATAGCTAGGAAATTAGCAAACCCTTGCCTCTGATACAGGATGTTACCTTCCATGCTGGAAGATTCAGTCGCAGTAGTATGTACCTCTAATAGACACAGTATGATCATTTAGCACGTGCTATTCCAGGTATCTGGCAGCTAGCAGCTGCTCATGTTATCTGAATTTAGGTCCTCCCACCAGCACAGCAAAGCCAAACACTGGCATTGGGACTTGCAGTGAGAGAAAGTGAGGCATTTATTGCATTGCACCAAGCAAGAAGAATCAGGCAGCTCATGCTGAAGACCGCAATTCCCCGATGGTTTACAGGTAAGGGGGTTTTCCGTGTGTTTCCTTTTTTTTTTTTCACTCTTGTCACCAGGTTGGAGTGCAATAGTGAGATCTTGGCTCATGGGGCAACCTCTGCCTTCCAGTATCAAGTGATTCTTCTGCCTCAACCTCCCGAGTAGCTGGGATTATTACAGGTGCCTGCTACCATGCCTGGCTAATTTTCGTATTTTTAGTAGAAACGGGTTTCACCATGTTGGCCAGGCTGGTCTTGAACTCCTGATCTCAGATGATCCACTCACCTCAGCCTCCCAAAGTGCTGGGATTATAGGCGTGAGCCATTGTGCCCAGCCCAGGTAAGGGTTTTTAAAGGCAGGGAGGCAGAGGTTACAGGCAAAGTCATAAATCAATACATGGAGACTATACATGAATTTGATCTAAAAAGCCAAGATATCTGAAGCAGGGACCCACAGGTCATAGATGGATTCAAAGATTTTATGATTTGCAACTGGTTAAGGAGGCAAAGCTTTGTGAATTTTTCCAGGCTCCTCAGTAAGAAATTTAGAACAAAGATAGATAGTTTGAAGTCTCCATGCCAGTGGACAGCACTTTCCATTTGGTGAGGGTCCAGGTTTCTAAAAAACAACTCAGGGACATCGTCCTCTTTAGTTTCTTTAAGGAACCAAACATTTTGTGAATCTAACGTCCTTGGTTACTGCCTTAAGCTTTTATTACCTTCTTGCTTATCAGGTTGCTCACTGACTTCTCGAGGAAGTTAGGTGCCGGGAATGTCCCTTGAGAGAACTCAAGATTTTCCTTTCCATACTTGGGAGGGGGGTGCCTAGCTGGCCCCTAAGAAGGGGTCCCTCCTCTGTCTCAATAAATATTTGTTGAATGAACAAATCATTAACCTCAGTACATATTGCAGAAAACGCAGTCAAGAACGCTAGTGCTGGAAGGGCCACAGATTATCCTACAGAACAACCATTTCACTTTTCTAATGTTGAAGGGAAGGATTCGAGATGTTAGGACTACAGACCCGGCTGTAAATAATCAATTATTTACTCCATCAATATTGAATGCCTGCTATTGAGTGCTAGACTCTGGGGGGAACAATGTTAAGGGGAGCCCAAGTTTTCCAATTCCCTGTCCAGAGCACTGAAAAAGTACTGCAGGAAGCTAAAGTGAGGACAAAGTTCCCAGAGATCAGTCTATCTGAAGGGAGAACCAGCAGAGCTTGGTCTGGGGCAGGGTTGGGAAAGGAGGAGGGACCCCGGCCTCCTCAGACCGTTTCTCCGCCAGGCCAAGCGAGGGCGCTGTTCTGCTCCTAGTGCGCCGTGGGCGGGCGGTGCCGCCTGCTCGCCTTTTCCCGGCGGAAATGCCCGAGCGATGACGGAAACCTGGAGGGAGGGGAGAGAAAGAGCGAGAGAAGGGGAAAGATAGCCTGGAGAGGCCGGCGGGTGTGAGGTGGCGGCGGACGGCCTTCGTCCAGCGGGAGTTGGCCGAGAACCCGCGGCGCGCTCCCCGGCACCTCCCCGCGTCCTTCACCTATTCGCGCGGCGCGCGGCCAGGCGAGAAAGGGCGGGCGGGGGTCTCCTCCAGGCCGCGCGCTCGGAACCGCCTTCTGGGCTTGGGCGGGGCGCGGGGCCCGCGGCCGCCCTCCCTAGCTCTGTCTTCCCCCAGTGGGATCTGGCGGCGGCGGCGGAGGGAGAGGGGAGCGGCGCCCGGGCCGGGGCCGGGGGCGGGTGGGGTGGGGGGAGGGCGGCTGCGGGGCAGGGGCTCGGGATCCGCATCGGGATCGTGCCGCCATGGACGACAAGGCGTTCACCAAGGAGCTGGACCAGTGGGTCGAGCAGTTGAACGAGTGTAAGCAGCTGAACGAGAACCAAGTGCGGACGCTGTGCGAGAAGGTGAGGGCGCCGCGGGGGCGAGTGCGGGAGTGCGAGAGCGCGGGGCTGGGATGGGCCGCGGCCGCCGCTTTCCTTCCTGCACGTCCCAGGCCCGTCCGCTCCCGGCCCGGCTTGGCCCACCGGGGGCCTGCGGGGTTGCAGCCCCGGCCTCCATTCGGGCGGCGGGCCCGGCCGGTCAGGGACCGGAGCGTTGGACTGCCCTCGCCCGGCGCCTCTGCCTCGGCGCTGACACGCCCCACGCCCGCGGCCGGCGGCCCAGATCCCGGGCGTGGGGGCTCGGGTGTGGACGGAAAGGGAAACGCGCCCCCCGGAGTCGAGCCTGATGTTGGTCAGGTTGCCTGCGCTCCCCTGGGGAGTTCCTGCCACTCCAGCATGTCCCGAGTGGGCTACCGAGAGCGGCGTCCGAAAAGGAGCAATGCTGTCTCTGAAAATGCACCTAAAATTAACCAGAATGTCGTACCTACTAATGAACTTGTTAATTAATGTAGAATTTTTGTCAGGCGAACGAGGCACCTCAAAAATCACTCACAAGTGCTGTGACTCACGCCTGTGGTCACAGCTACTCGGGAGGCTAATGCGGGAGGATTGCTTGAGCCCAAGAGTTAAGAGACCAACCTGGTCAACATAGGGAGGCCCTGTCTCCACAAAAAAAAAATAAAAAATTAATTAGTGGGGCATGGTGGCGGGTGTCAGTAATCCCAGCTATTCGTGAGGTTGAGGCCGGAGGTTCGCTTGAATCCAGGAGGTGGAGGCTGCAGTTAGCTGAAGTCGCGCCACTGTACTCCAGCCTGAGCGACAGAGCAAGACCCTGTCTCCGAAAAAAGAAAAAAAAAAAAATTACTGGCTCTTTAATGTGTCAAGCGTTTGTTTGTGGAGAGGTAGGCGTGATGGCCAGCTGCGATTTTTAAAATAGAGGTTGACTTTGGTGGAAACAGATGGTGACTGGTCTTTGCCTTCACTCGCTCTTGGAAGTAAAGCATTGATTTTCCTAAACGAGAGCGGGTCTTGAGTTTGGGAACCGTGTTTGCTGGAAATGAGGTGGGGTGTGCGTTTTCACGCATGATAGCACTTTTCAGACAATTATTCTCCATTTTAATATAAAGTTTTTTCTTTTCCGAAGAATAACGCCTGCAGGTGGTCAATTCTTTCTTGTACATCGTTCATGAGTTTGTAAAGTGATCTTCACTTTATAAATACTATATTCCTTGTTGTCTTAACCCCTGGAATCATTTCCATCTCTCCATCTTTAAAGTCTAATTTTCCACATTTATCCTTTATAAGATGGACTAAATATTTTTCATGTTAAAAATTCCCACTTGAAGTCCATGAAGTAACGAGGTTATTTATTTTTAACATAATCTGTACTTTTTTTTTTTTTAACCATAACGCTTAGAAATCATGATATTGCAGAAATACACAAGAAAAGGACAATTTTTTGTTAGTCTTATTTTAGGACATTCTTAAAATCATGAAATTTACTTAGAAAAGAAGCACTAATAGTGTTAAGTTAAAATAGTGTTTTTAACGGGTATAATGTTGCCTGAGACCTTTATGTATTAAGTAACTATTGGTTAACACCGAAGAATTTATTTTTGTAAATAGAAGTGCCAAGCAAGTGGTATTTTTCTTTTTCTGAAACAAACTGCTTACTTGTGGCTTCAGTAAACATTCATTTTATTGTGTCTTAAAATTTATACTTTAAATATCTTTCTCAAGCTCTAATGTGAAGTGAATTGTACAGGTTTGAAATGAGCTGAGTCAGTTAACCTTGCTATGAACATCAGAATGCAGACTTGAAGTTATGGGCAAAGTGTTATTTGAATCTGTTTTTCCCATTGACTTTCTTTTTTTGTTGTTTTGTTTTTGAGACAGAATGTCACTCTCTCACCCAGGTTGGAGTGTAGTGGTGCCATCTCTGCTCACTGCAGCTTCCGTCTCCTGAGTTCAAGGAATCCTCCTGCCTCAGCCTCCTGAGTAGCTGGGATTAGAGGTGCCCACCACCATGCGCTGATTTTAGTAGAGATGGGGTTTCGCCATGTTGACCAGGCTAGTCTGGAACTCCTGGCCCCAAGTGATCCGCCCACCTCAGTCCCTCAAAGTGCTAGGATTACAGGCGTGAACCCTGTACAGAGCCCCCATTGACTTTCTAATAATTTTAAGATGAACTCCTAGAGAAGAATATTGTACCACTACTATACCTTGAAATAATCACACCAGAGTGTCAATCACTTGTGAAACTTTCTGTATTTGTCAAAAGAGATTTTTTTTTCCTTCGGCTTCTAAATAAATCAGACTAACAGTTCCTAGGACTTTATAGGTATATTTAAGATTGTCTCGGCCAGGCGCAGTGGCTCACACCTGTAATTCAGCACTTTGGGAGGCTGAGGGCAGATCACAAGGTCAAGAGAACAAGACCATCCTGGGCAATATGGTGAAACCCAATCTCTACTAAAAAATACAAAAAATTAGCTGGGCATGGTGGTGCGTGCCTGTAGTCCCAGCTACTCTGGAGGCTGAAGCAAGAGAATCGCTTGAACCCAGGAGGTAGAGGTTGCAGTGAGCTGAGATTGCCCCACTGCACTCCAGCCTGGCAACAGAGACTCCGTCTCAAAAAAAAAGATTTCTTGTATCTTACCAGCTTTTTTTTTTTTTTTTTAAGGCACAGTCTTGGTGTGTCAGTCAGGCTGGAGTGCAGTGGGGCAAGCATGGCTTACTGCAGCCTTGACCTCCAGGACCCAAGGGATCCTCCCACTTCAGCCTCTCAAGTAGCTGGGACCACAGACACGTGTCACCACACCAGGATTATTTTTTTATTTTTTTGTATGGGATCTCATCATGTTGCCTAGGCTCATTTCGAACTTCCAAGCTCAAGTGTCCTCCTGCCTTGGCCTCCCAAAGTGCAGGGATTGCAGGAATGAGCCACCACTCCCAGCCCATTTTTTTCTTTGAATATTTATATTTATCCGCAAAAAAATTTGTTAGTGAAATTCATTTCTCTTTATCCTCTGCCCCCATTGATGGAATTGCCAATGAGATGGAGAATTTTGATAATACTTATTTCTTTCTACTCTTTTGAGCCATGGTTAGTTTTGCAGCCCTCTTCTGGCAGCTGTGACCTAGTTTTGTGGTTTGTGTATGTGTATATATGTTTCAGACCTTAGTCCCTAGTTCCAGTTTGTATCCCTACGCCATCCTCCTTGTTCATACATGACAAGTGTAGCATTCAGCCTGTCTGAGTTCCCGTCCTGCTTCACAGTTTGCTAGCTGTCAGTCTCTGCACCTCTCATTCCTTATGACAGAGATAATGTGTACCAGTCCTCCGGGGTTGTTTGTACGTGCTAGGATACTACCCATTGGCCAGGCACAGTGGTTTATGCCTGTAATCTCAGCACTTTGGGAGGCTGATGCAGGTAGATCACTTGAGGCCAGGAGCTTGAGACCAGCCTGGCCAACATGGCCAAACCCTGCATCTAACTTAAAAAAAAAAAAAGAACTGGGCCGGGCGCGGTGGCTCAAGCCTGTAATCCCAGCACTTTGGGAGGCCGAGGCGGGTGGATCACGAGGTCAAGAGATGGAGACCATCCTGGTCAACATGGTGAAACCCCATCTCTACTAAAAATGCAAAATAAAATTAGCTGGGCATGGTGGCGTGTGCCTGTAATCCCAGCTACTCAGGAGGCTGAGGCAGGAGAATTGCCTGAACCCAGGAGGCGGAAGTTGCGGTGAGCCGAGGTCGCGCCATTGCACTCGAGCCTGAGTAACAAGAGCGAAACTCTGTCTCCAAAAAAAAAAAAGAACTGGCTGTAGTGTTGCACTCCCTGCTACTTGGGAGGCTGAGGCACAAGAATCCTTGGGAGGCAGAGGTTAGAGTGAACAATGATCATACCACTGCACTCCAGCCTGGGTGACAGAGTGCAGTTTAAAAAATATACATATATATATATATATATTGTCCATGTAAAGTCCTAATGAGAAGTAAGCACTCAGTGAATGTTAAATGAAGAAAGACTGAACGTTTTAATATTAAGTATTACCCATTTTCTTTTGTAAAGAAATGAAAAATAAATAGATGTGCTGATGTGACTCTTCTGTGGTAAATGGACTTCAAAGGAGATTTTTGTATATAGTGGCTATAGAACCCTGAAAAGTTCTCTGTAATGTGAACCACACAGTACTGGGATTAATAGCAGTTACGTGAAGTAACTTTACTCCTGACTTGGTCTACTTAATACTTGCCCTACCTTTCCAGGGCCAGAATGGCAGGCATATGGAAAGAATGTATGAGAAAAATAAAAAGTCAAACCTAATTGTATAAATCATCGTGATTTAACGCCTTGCGATTAGATTTTGGGGTTTTATTTTAAATTTTTTAATTCTTTTGGAAATACTATTCTATAGAAAGTTCCATTGTGTGATGGTGGTTTTTCCCTTAAATTTCTATTCTAACTCAGATTCTCTAAAAACTGAAGGAGTCCACTGAAATCAAGATCAGAGTAGTACTAGTAAATGCTTATTTTGAGGTAGTAGCAAAAATAAAATCCATCCTAGTGCCAGTGGGTGAATGACTACAAAAAATAAGAGTATGAATGGTGTGATGTGTCTGGCTGCCAAGGTTAATTTGCGCCTGGTGAAAAATTGTTTGCATAAAATAGCAAGGCACGTCTTCTGAGAAGACTAGCTCTTAACACTAACTTAAATTAGCAATCCAGCTTTTGAAGCTGATTGTGAATTTGACTCTTCTTTTGTGTGCAGAGAAATTGCTTCTGTGATTCATTCCTGCATCAGCAATATGCAGTTATTTTAGAAGATTGTGTGCCTAGAGAGCCAGGCTGACACTGATCAGGACACTCTGTGATTAGAACTGTATTTAACTCTTGTCTCAGAAAGAGTAAAAATGTTAAGCTCTTTGACCTGATACATTCTACATAACTGAACAACTTTGGTGATGATTCTTTAGGTAGGGAGGGAAATTCAGCCAGTTTGTGTGCTGGCAGATGTTT